ATATTTTATTAATTTTCATAAACATTTACAGAGATTTTGGGTTTCCATTCATTCATTGTTGCACTATTCTCTCTACCCTCCTCCCAGTTTGTTCTTGTCCAAATGCCACAGTGCTTGTCAAAGCCAGTTCTGATTAATCTTCTTTGTCAGTGTGTCTTTTGCCATTCCTTATCACTCCTCCCTGAGAGAGACTTCACCCTGAGTCATAAGGAAAAGGGGATGGCGTATTCTCTAAGCTACTTCCTGCTGAAAAGGGACGCTGTGGGTTTCAGGGTGAGGATCTTCTCTCACTATTCTAAAGGGCCCCTTTGGCAGTAGGAAACACATAGACTATTATGGAGATTGATTTTGGAATTTAGATGCACTCTTATTGATTGTGCTTGGCCGTACATGTTCATATCCTTGAAGATGTATCATGGGACAGATTTCATTTAAATGGCATATCCAAACTACTTTTCCATCCTTCCTGCTTATGGTAGATTCTTGGACTGGCTCTCACAATCTCCAGTTCACCTACTTTTTAAGAGGTTAGACAGTTAAAAGACTCCCCTGAAGATAAGATGCTGGATATTAATTATGTTCTCCTCTTCACTTACAACTGAAGGAGTCTTGAAAGGCAAAGTTCTTTTCCTACAGGGAAATCAATTGAGGAAAACATGTAAAAATGTGCAGTGAACCAAGTCCTTGTTCCTCCTTAGCAGGCTTGTGGGTGAGATGCAGCTGCTGCAGTGACAGCAGGGACAAAAGGACATGATCTTAGAGGAGAAGTCCAATAGTGATTCCCTGGGTTAGGTCTTCCAGACTTTCCAACAGTTTTTATCTATCTGATTCTGTAAGTTCATTTCAGCTAAAAATAGCTACAATGGTCCTGATTCCTGCCCTGAACCCTAACTGGTTTCACTGTCATTAAATGAGTTGAGATAGTCTTACTTTCATGCACAGAACTCTCTGAATGGCATAGACAATATGTGCTTGGCTATTAAGCAGAAAGTTGGAAAGCTTGCACTCAGCAGTGCCTCAAATCAAAGGTCTTTGTAAGCATTACAGCCAAGAAAGTCCTATGGAGTTCAATGCTAATTTGTAACCCATGGAGTTGCTTGAGTAAAAAGCATCTCAATGACAATGGATTTGATTTGAGTCTGGTGGGTTTTCGCCCCTAACTTTCTTGCCTGGACCACGATCAAATTCCTAACTGACCTGCCGAAAGTCCCCTGCCATTCCAGGTTTTTACCTGACATGCCGTCATCAAATCTGATCATATGTAGAGAAAATTTAAAGACAACGGGGGCATATGAAAACATCTTGTGCTCTTTTTACACATCAGCAGTTCCATCTGGTAAAATCTCACTCCACCGGAACCTAACCCAAATGAGACTCCAGTTAAAGAGGTCACTCCACATTCCCTATAGGCACATTATTTTTACAGATTATCAGTAACTATCTAGACAAGATTTAATTATAACAGTGGGAAATAAAAGATTCAGCACAAGGGGTCTTCAATCGTCACTGCTCCATAAAGGGCTACCAACAGAGCTGCTTAGAAACTCCCACAGAGTCACGAAGGCAGCCAGCGACAGAAAATGCAGTTCCATCTGCCTCTCTTTTTCTCCAGTTGCTCAACAGATATGGTAAGAGCAGGTTCAGGTTCAAGAACAGGAAGCTAGCACCTATGCTATCCTTTTGTCTTTCCTCACTTCCTAAGTGCTGTGTATTTAGAAGCTACAAACGGATGACTTAGTAAGAAAATGTCAAAAGCCCTAGTAACATATTTCTGCCAATCATTATAAAGCATTACAATAGGAAAACTTGCAACCAAATGGACTGACACAGTGACTGCAGCAATGGGCTTAGGTGTGTCAGAAATAAGATGGCAGAGGATAGGACAGAGTTTGGGCATTTTGTTCAAAGGCTCACTATGCGTCATACGCAATTCCATGTCACCTAACAATTAGCCCATTCTAGGCTTATGTTTTAGTTTAGTACTTGCACTCAAAGGCAAGTGAAAGTGGCATTCATTGAAAGAAAGAAACCTGGGATCACTAGGAAACAGCTTCAAGATACATGAAAAGTTTGATATAGCTGAGAAAATATCAGTATGTATATATACAAAATGGAACTTAATAGTGACTGTAATATGAAATAAGGTTCCTATGCCTTTTAGATGTACATTTAACCAGAATTACTACCTACATTTACTACATCTGGCATATATAATCAGAATCTGCCGTTAGCCAAGATTTCTACTATAGGAGGGGCACAATCAGTCATACAAAGAACTAGGTCACCAGAAACTCCCATAAATTACATAATAATGCCAATTTTCCCAACTATTACAACTATGAAATCATGACTAATTAACCAATAAGTAGCCATCACCATGCTATTTGATGCAAAAAGATCAGTATCAAATAATGAAAACATTTGCCTACCCATGTTTTATATTTAGAACAAGGGGACAGTAATTTTGTCAATCTGTTACTATGGAATTCATGCACTTTAAGCTGGACTTTAATACTACTGTCTTCTTTTTCACTTTCTTCCAATCTCAAAACCAAAATTTAAGTTATTCATTTCAATATATATTTACAGATCTCAGTGCTAACCAAGATATATGCTAGAGATGGCAACACATATAGGGAATAAAACTATCGCCTTTTAATCCTTCCTAAAAGGAATGCCTTTTTCTTCCAGAAGAAGTAAACTTTTTTTTAATCCTAACGTCCAAAGTACATAATTCTCCACCACCATTTCCCCCATCCCCAGGAGAGAGAACAACTTATATAGGATAAATATGGTTTTAAAAAATATTTAAATGATCTTGGGAACTCAGTGAACAGAGAGCACTCTGGTGTCAAAGTCCCAGCAAGTTATGCTGCTAACCCAAAGGCTGCACTCTGTGGTTACCACTTCCGCAGGGGTTCCTGTCCCCATCACCAGCTCCACAGGACAAAGTTTCAATTACACTCGGAAGCCCAATAATGGGTCACTAAAAATCTGAATCAATTCCACACGAGTGAGTTTGAGTTTTGAGAAAAATTTAAACAAAAAAAAGTTGCTGCTGCTGTTATGTGCCATCCAGTTGCTTATGACTGATAGCGACCCTATATACAACAGCTCTGAATCCTGTTCTATCCTCAACCAACCTCACCGTCTTTGAAACACCAAACCCCAGTACCCCAAGTCACTGAATTGATCCATCTCATCCAGTGTCTTCCTCTCTTGCGCTATCCCTCTACCCTCCAAAACTTGATGTCCCTATCCAAGCACTGGTCCCTCCTTGCTGCATGCCCAAAGTATGTCAGAAGGAGCTTCAGAATCTTTGCCTCCAAAGAGCAGTTAAAAATAAGCAGTTTTAAAAAATTTTCTCTATTAATAGGGAGGAAAATTTGCAAAAACAAATGAATGGAAATCCAAGTTTTCTGTAAACTTCCATTAAATGTATCAACAAAAAATTGAAAAAATATTATCTCTATTAAAAAAGAAAAAAAAAATCACTGAAGCTCACATTCCATTTTCCATTAGATTTAATGTTTACGAGCATCTTTTTATGTTACATATTAATGACAAATACGCATGCTATCTAAACTTAGTTCCTTGCTTTCTCTGTTCTTTTAAAAGCTCTCTTTCAGAGATTAAAAAATAAATAAGCAGTTGACCTTCAGTGCAGTATTCTCAAATAAATGCACACATTAACTTACCAAGTACTAGGTAAATAAATATTACAAGGATCAAGAATATCATTTTTTTATCACATGAAAAGGGATACACAATAAATCTAAATTTCCTCAAGCAAGTTATGATACTGAAAAGTGCTTCAGAGTACAGACTAGTTCCAGTATTCCCACTTAATTCTACAGTCTATTATCTGTTATGACAGTGAACTGGATAATGATGTATAGCTGGGTCTAGTCAATCATTATTGAAACAAAAGTAATTTATACAGCACTGGGGGAAGTGACAAACACAGGAAAAATATTAATTATATAATACAGAACTCGTAAATGGCATTCTCAAAGATACTCCCTTAGAGAGCCACCTATTTCTCAGAAAAGAAAAGAAAAATTGCAAGTAAGGTCTTTTTCCTTAACCACACAAAACATCCGATTACTCTGGAGAAATTGTAAGTCAGATCACAGTACCAAAAACGTATAGGCTAAAAATAGTCTATTTCAAAGGTAATAGTGATAGAAGCCTTCAACTGAACAAACTAAATTAAGCTCTTTTCCACCTCTAGACCTTTAAAATGAGCATATATAAGGCGTTCAAACTCATGCCTATTCTCTTTCTAAACTAGCTGGTCTGAGAGCATCTCATCAATAAAATCTTCAGGAACGGAAGCCTAAAGATTCAAGAAGAAACTCCTCTCTGGCTAACATTCAGCCTTTAAAACCATATTCTTTACTACTAATAATCAGAATGACTGCTCCTCAGTTATTTTACTCAATAACACTCCAACCGACAAAAAAAGAACCACCACCCTTTTTCAAGAAGCAGAGGTAAGAGCCTGGTACAAAAGCTGACAGGTGGACAGGTAGACAGGCTCCACCTGGGGAATCAGAGTGCAGGAAGAAGGACGTGGTCACCGGGGAGGGCAGAGGCGGAGACCCACACCTAAGGGTGGCCCCACCCACAGAGGTACTTGTAAGCCGAGGTGGAAGAGGGCAGCCCTTCAAATACAAGCAGTGCCCAGGCCTCCTTGCCACCGCTGCTTTGGACACCGCCCGGTGGAGGGTCCGAGCATCGTAAAGTGGGGACTGGCACAGCCCCACGCTGGGGAGGCACTTAAGCTGAGACCAGTAGGTGATCCGGCGAATCTGACCTCTCAGCCTGCCGCCTCCAGTGGAGGTAAGGGTCCACGGAAGCCCCACGCTCGCCCTTCCTCCCTCCGGCCAGGGCCCAGAGGGCGCAGTCACGGCGTCCGATCGGGCCACGAGGGGTACGCTACGGTGGAAAGAAGGTCACTGGCCACAGGACGCCAGGGGCGGCGGCTTTCACACTACCTTTGGCCTCGCAGTCGGCGCAGTACTTGTTGTCCTCCTCCCTCAGCAGCTTGGACAGGATGACCTGGTGCTGCTCGTTCAGCTTCTGAGCCTTCTCCCGGCAAGAGCGTGTCGCCATCTCGGCAACGGTGCGAGGAACCCGGGGTAGCTACAAGGACAGCAGCGACAGACAGGGGCCGGGGCCAGGCAGGTAAAAAGCACCTGGCGCCGCCGGGACCGTGGTAGACTCGCCCAGAAAGCGGTGGCAGCAGCTGAAACTGGAGGAGGAGGGGCGGCGGCGGCGGCGGTAGCGCCGACGTATCCCGCCTCCCCGCCCAGCCCGCCCCACCCCGCACGCAGCGCCAAGAGCCCGCGAGGGGAGGAGAGTGGAGCAGAGGCTTCCGGGTGGTGGAGCAGGAAGGAACCTGGGAGCCGGGTTGGTTCGCATGCGCGGAACTTGCCCGGCGACCAGGCAAATGCGCCTTTGCGCATGTGCGGTGGGGGTCTTTGCCTCAGAGGAAGTTATCTGAAGCTGACGTGTGTGTGCTGTCTGTGAGCTTTCCAAGTTTTGAGGCAAGAGTGTCGCTGGAAGGCTGGGATAAGTAGTTTATCACATGGTAAAGAAGAGGCTCTGACTTACTTCATTGCCTTTGCTTTTACTGACAAACAATGGAAATGCCTAAATGACAGGGATTGTTGTTATGCACAGCCGACCTTCTATCGCATTTTCAGAGGCACCAAAATATCCTCCGATGAGATTGCCCGTCTTTCTACCGCGGAGCATCTAGTGGAATTTGAGCAGCATTCCTTTAGTTTGGCAGAACCATTCCTTACCACTAAGCCACCAGAATATCCGGATAGTGATTGAATTGATTAACATTTTCTTACTGGCAGTTTTGGATAAAATTGGCAAAAGTTTTTAAAAAGAAATCTTCCATAAGTTAAAATTTAGGTAAGAGAAACACATAATAACATATTGAGTGCTATCATTTGTTGGATGATTATTTTGCACAATTAACTAACTTAACACAAACAACCCTCTTATTACCGTTATCCTCATTAAACAGGTGAAGAAAATGAGGGATGAGGAATCAAGTAATTTGTCCCGGTTACAGTGCTGTCAATGGAAGTTTAAAACCCAAAGCAGTCTGTCTATAGTCTTATTAAACACGTACCCAAAAGGTAAAAAAAGGAGAAGGTAAGACCAAGGAGTCAAATAATGAGTTGTGTCACTTTAATATACAAGAAACAAGAACACATCCTCATGAGGATGTGGAGAACTCATACAGTGTTGATGGGAATGTAAAAAGCAACTATTATGGAAAGCAGGGTGGTGCTTTCCTAGAAAGTTGGTTACTCCTAGTAATTCAACTGCACAGAGTGGAACTACCCCATTTAATTTCTGAGGTTGTCTTTTTGGTTTTGTTTGTGGGGTGGGTTTTTTTTTTGTTTTGTTTGTTTTTGTTTTCTCAGAGATGTTGCTCTCCACAGAAATCTTTAGTAAAGGCTAAAGATTTGTACAGTCTGAAGAGAAAGCAAAATGAGGCAGTGAGTCTTAATGATAGCCAATTGCTTCATCTCTTGCCTATGGCTGATGGGTTCAAACCACTAACCTTCTGATTGACAGACAATCACGTAAGCCATTCCTGATAATAAATTTCATTTATTGCCATCAAGGAGCCGACTCATAGATGACAACCAAGCAAGATTTAAGAGATTGTACATTGCATAGGAATACAGTCTTCAATAGGGACTGCCTCTCAAAGTCAAGAAAAGAAAGATTCTTACCACTGTACCAATAGGCAACATCTTGGTGGATGAAAAATAGATTGAAACTGTCAACAACTTCATCTTACTTGGACCCACAATTAATACCCTTGGTACCAGCAATCAGGGAATCAGGAGAGATGTATTGCATTGGGAAAGTCTGAAGTTAGGGACCTCTCCAAATTACTGAGGAGTAATAATGTCACTTCAAGAATTAAGGTGCATATGATTCAGGCCAGGTTTTTTTCTGATTACTTGCTATGCATCTGAGAGTTGGACAATGAATAAGGATGACAGAAGAATTGATGCCTTTAAGCTGTGGTGTTGGAGAAGAGTCCCATGGACTGCCAAAAGAACAAACAAATATGTCTTGGAGACGGTGCAACTAGTGTGCTCTTTGGAGGCAAGAATGATGAGGCTTCACCTCATATACTTTGGGCATGTTGCTAGGAGAGACTATTCCTTGGAGTGGGACATTATGCTTGAAAAGGAGGATCAGTGAAGGGAGAAAAAGACCCTCAACCAGGTGGATTGACACGGTGACTACTGCAATGGGCTCTAATGTGTCAGGAAATGTAAGGATGGCACAGGATAGTATGAGGTTCAGGTCCATTGTTCATAGAGTCACTATGAGTCATACTTGATGGCTTCTAACAATAATAAATTGCGTAAGAAGAGGTTGTCCAGATTTCTGCTTCAAAGCCACTAGTGGCTTGGAAGTGCCAAAAAGGCATAGACTTTGGATTAGCACAACTCCCTACAAACTACACCACCAGAGTTCCCAGATAATCCACTTACAGGCTATTAAAATCCAACTTGGGTCGACTGTATATCACAAATAAAGTAGGAATAAAGGAAGATGATAATTTTTAAAAAAAAACCAATTGAGGCAAGACAGACATGGCAAAAGGAAGATGATACATTTTTAAAAAACCCAGTTGAGGCAAAGCAGACATGGCACTCAATCAGCTATTTTTTAAACAACTTCCGTCTATGAATCTGAACTGATTAGTTTTCTGAGTCTCAAAAGCTTAGAATCTAGCCTGAGACACAATGCATTAAAAGAAAAATCAAGAACCTCACAGAAGAGTCTGCAGTAAATATACATTTTTCAAGAAGTAAAAGGAATAGAATGCCTAGTTGCTTGGAAAAATTTGGAAGTCTTCACTGAGGAGGTGATGCTTAAATGTGGCTTTAATTTGCAATGGAGAAATTTTTCAAGCGAGCAGGAGCAGAAGGAAAAGAACTAGCTCAAAAAGAAGTGTGAATGAACTTCAGAAAGCCCATAGAAAAAAGGAGGCAACAGGAGCCCTAGAGAACAAGAATGTAAGAAAAGCAGCAAGATGGAAATGCAGAACCTGATCAAAGTGTGAAAAACTTCACAGCCGGCCTGCAGTGTGGATATTCCAGTTTGGGCACAGAAAGCCAAGCAGAAATGACTTGATAAGCTTTATTCTCATGAAAATGACTTCATCCACTCTGAATTTATGGAAATAGGTTCTAAAAAACCAAGGTGTTACCCAAAAATTGGCATTATGAAGGAACAAAAAACAGAGGATGAGTATATCAATATATTATTGTGTACCAAGGAGCTAAAGCCAACCTATAGCTGACCCTCTGGCAGGTTTTCAGAGGCAGTTACTCACACAGGAGGTGATTGCCCATCTTTCTCCTGCGGAACAACTAGAGGATTCAGACCTCATGCCTTTGGGACTGCAGCGCAGCTTCTTACCACTATGTCACCAGAGGTACCTATATCAGTATGCTGTTGTTTGTTGTTGTATACCATAGAGTCCAAACCAACCAATAGCTGACTCTCCAGCAGGTTTTCAGAAGCAGTTAAATGCATAGGAAGAGAATGCCCATCTTTCTCCAGCACAGCAGCTGGTGGATTCTAACCGCATGCCTTCAGTATTGCAGTGCAGTTTCTTGCCACTAGGCCACCAGAGCAGATAGATGCCAAATTACAGTATTACACAGCTAACAAACCACTGAGAATCACAGCCTAACCAAGCTGACATATAACTTTAAGCACTACAGTCAGCGTTACTCTCACCTTGCATTTGTTACTGGCAAGCATACATTGTTAATATGTTAAGTAGTAGAATAGTAGACTTTTTCACTATTGTAAATGCAAAATGTTGCATAACAAGATAGTCACTAAGTGAAGAGTAGGTGTATAGTGGCAGCTTGATGAACACACTGGGACAGGGAATAGCTATTATCAGGGAAGTAGATTACAGGGTTGTTGGAATCAAAGTCCAAAGAAGAAATGCTGAAGGACTATTTTAAGCTGGTAGCACAGGATTTGGAAGAGACAGAGCATATTTTAAAATTAGAAGCAACAAGATTTGGCAGCTGACTGTATGTGGGGGTTGAGAGAAGAAGTGAGAATTACACCAAGTTTTCTAACTTAGGAGACAGGTAAGCAGTGAAGTTATTAACCCAGATCTCAAATGAAGGCTACAGATTTAGGGTCAAAGGAGAGCATGTGCTTCAGGGTATATTAAATTTACGGTGTCCAAGAATTTAATAAGATGTTGAGTACCTACCTGGCAAACTCTGGAGAAAAGCCTTTAGAGAATCAGTAAATTTTTTTGTCCTTTAGCTTCAGGCCTTTATTCAACCAACAAAAAAACAATCAGGAAGGTCTATTACCTGAGAGTGTAAAAGACACAATTTCATCAAGCCAGCAAAGGCAGAAAGAAATAAACCAAGAGGGCAAACATGGGTCCCATTTAAAGCGACTGTAGAAGTAAAAGCATTCCAAAACAACTGTGAGATATCGTCTCACCCCAGTCAGAATAGCAAAATTTAACAGAACAGCAAACAAGAAATGATGGCAAGGTTGTGGAGAAACTGGAACCCTTATTCATTGTTGGTGGGAGTGTAAAATGGTGCAACCACCGTGGAAGGCGGTATGGCGCTTTCTCAAAAAGTTACAGATAGAGATACCAAAAAAAAAAACACCACAAATAGAGATACCATTGGACCCAGCAATTCCACTACTGGAATTATATCCCTAAGAGACCATAACTGACATCCAAGCAGATATATGCACACCTGTATTTATCACGGCTTTGTTCACAATAGCAAGGAGTTGTAAACAACCTAAGTGCCAATCAACAAACGAATGGATGGAGAAGCTGTGGTATATTCACACAATGGACTACTACGCTACATTGAAGAATAAGAACTCATGCAATATTATTCAAAATGGGTGACCCTGGAGGACATTATGCTGAGTGAAGTATCTCAGTTACAAAAGGATGTTGTAAAACAGGACTGACCTCAGGGTTGGGGGGAGACTGAGAAAGATGGGTTTAATAATATATACTGCATTGAAACAGATGAGGGAGAAAAATGTTTAAAAGGATTATGTGATTAGGTATTTTTGTCATTACAGAAATCCAGAGCGAAGGCTGCATAGTGGAGTGGACCTGGGGAGAGGGATTGTAAAACAATGAAAGAATTTCTCCTTTACTTTTC